GAGTGCACGCGCCCCATAGCAAAAACCTCTCCAAAAAAAAAAAAAAAAAAACACGAAGCAGAATCTCAGGAAATACGTGGATCACCTGCTCCCTGAAGGGGCTGGCTTAGTTCTCTGTAGATCCGAGGAAGAGAATTGAATCAATATTAGGCATATAGTAGGAGTGTAGTAAGTGTGGATGGATGGAGAAAGGTTTCAGATCAATAAGCTTTTTTTCTCAATCCCAGTAGTCCAAGAAGGGCGCTACTCTGGTGGGAGATGTAGCGAATGCACCGCCTCTGAAGGTACCCCCACACCAGCCAGCCGTTCTTTGACAGGACTGTTGAAGAAGCAGATCAGGGCGGGGGTGTGTGTGTGTGAACTGGATAAGCTTTTAGGTCCTGTGAACCCCGGGATTCCTATTATTCCACGATCTTCGGTGCCTAGGGAAAGGAAGCAGCAAAGATGTTTCTGCTTTCAGCTTTAAGAGTTTAGGTGGGGAAAGCCACACGGATGTTCAGGGGCTTCACCCAGAATCCTGGTCCTTTGCTGAACTTTCTGCCACAGCTGGAAAACCTTGTCACACTGGCAGCTCACTCAACTTCCTCTAGTTTGGTTTAAGTAACCAGTTTGTTTCTTCTTAATTTTGAAACTCAGGAGAAATGGACTTGTGGAAACCTGGATCGGTCCTCTTAGACGCAGGTAATTACACAGCTCAGCCTCTTGGCCGTGACTAGATCGAGTCACGGGATTATAGGACTGGGGGTCTAATAAGCAGCTCGCCCAGGGCGTCCTTTCTAAGGCTTTCCCCGCACAGTAGGGTCCAGTTACTGCAGGAAGGGAACACTGGAACCTCCCCAGGAAGGCCCCGGGGAAGGAGATACCTGGATGACAAAAGAGAGAACTGTAAATATGAAGACAAAAAGCCAGTAGGGAGTTGGCTCCCCACCCTGAAAATGGTGTCGCTCCCCCTCCATCTGGCCGCACACCCTTCCATCTTTGCAAAATAATATCCAGGCTTTCTCTTCCCATAAACAAAAATGCTGTTTACTGCATTAAGGGCCTGAAACTCCAACAACCAACAAGACCTTCCCACTCTTGATTCGAGGGAAGATTTTTATGGCAGGAGTCTGAGGCAGATGAGAGGACTCAGCTTTGGAACACGGCCTTGCTCCCCCTCCTTCCAAGGTGGTGCCTTAGGGTGTTTCCCTGAGAGGCTCCTGGCTGGGAAATGCTGTCAGACACCCAAGTGAATGTTTTAAATGATGTGAGGAAGTGGGATGAGCTAGCTGACCTTGCATGGAAAGATGAAATCATCTGCTTTGCAAATTGGGAAAACATAATGAGCCAAGAGAAAGCTCATCTCAACCAAGGGCAAGCAGAATCCCCAGAATCTTCCTCCCATAGAGAATCCCAGAACTTCTGGGCGTCCTGGAAAAACGTGGAGACTCACTTCCAGCACTACCAGTTGCTCTGCCTGGAAAACCGATTGGGCTCACCAAGCTTAAGATTCTCACTGTCTTTATTTTCCTAAATGGTATACTCGAGACTTTGGCTCCCATGTAAGACGGCTTAAAGAAAACTCTCTCAAGGCTCCAGTTTGATTTAGAGTTTCTCAAAGCATGACATTTTTTGCATGTAGACCTCTAGTCTCAGAGGTCCAAACTGCTGGGGGACGAGGTTGCATTTGAGACGCCCTTACGTGAGTTATTTTATCTGGGTCCATCTACATCAACCCTCATTAGATTGTCCTCCTTGAGTCGGACTCATTGTTTTCCACTGACTCAGTCGCCAACTGCTGACAGGGCTACGTTCACTGGGCCCAGGGAAGGTTTATATGATGAATGAGATGCATTCCCTAACCTCAGGAGTTTGGGAATTTCACAGAGGGATAGTTTACACTGGCAAAGTGCTTAATACTTTCAGATAAGGAAACCGAAGCTAGATAGAATAAGTTGAGGGGACCAGCAGATGGTGTAATGGTTATGTCGCTGGACTCACACATAGTTGACCATGGTTTGAGTCCCAGATCCAGTGGCTTGAAACTCACACCAAGCACATATGCCTGCATGCCCAAAATCCCAAGAGGAGAATGGAGAAGGGATTGCAATGTGGTCATCTCCCCTAGGGGGTGATTTCTTGCTTTCAATCTCTCTGTCTCTCTCTGTCTCTCCAGCAAGCACATGCGCCCAATAGCAAAAAAAATCTCTCTTAAAATAAATAACAAGTTAATGGGAGTATAACTCAGGTCTCCTGATTTCAAATCACCTTGTGCACCCACAGGGGGCTGTGTCTTTAGTAGGCTGTCAGTAAATATGTATCGCTATTTTTCTCAGGAGGGGGATGGTGTGAAGAAGAGCACAGTTAGCTGCAAGCCGCCCTGGGCTGGGCGTGAATATCCACCCTGTCCCCTTCCCTGGGATAAAGCCAAATGCTTCCCATGCTTTTAAGTCACCAAAAGTTTTACTGCTCTTTCCAGGATTTGTTCCAAACGAAGAATTAAGCACACAGTCTTTGGAGCCAGTATCCCAGGGAGACCCAAGTAAGTTAATTGACAACTGGAAACCCATGGTGGCTTTGACATCTGATCTGCTCTCTCTCCTCTCTGCCCACTCACTCCTCCGCAGCCTGCCTCCTACCCTGCATCCATTCATGGCCTCTCTTCTGTCACTTTGTTCGAGGGGGAAAGGGAAGCTCTTGAAGGATTTAAACTGCCTGTGTGTGTGAGGGGAAGAGAATCAAGTTTTTTATACATCGCTATGGCAACAGGGTGAAGAATGGGATGGAATGGGGAGACAGGGCAGATGAAAGGAAGAGATGGGCTGGTCTTCAGGGGCGGTGCTCTGGTGGAGGTGGTGGTAGCCAGAGCCTGGAGTTGGAGGTGGGAATGGGGAGAGATAGGCAGATTGTAAAAAGGCAGAATTTAGAGGACCGAAGCAGAGGTATGAGAGACAGGGCAGTTAGACATTGAAATTCCTGGGTGAATCACACTGCAAGATGAGCATCAGGAATGGAGCAGGCCAGGAGCAGGGAGATCATTTCTGTCCGTCATTTTCTCTGAGACATTTGGTCTGATAGACAAGCACCAGATCTGGCGTTCAAAAGGAACAGCCCAGTCCAAAATTTAGAGTTGAATGACAATGAGCTGTGGTTCAAAACCAGGGCTGAGACAGAAAGCGTGCCCCAGGGAGGTAGGGAAGAGTAAGAAAAGACAGAGGACTTAAACTGGAAGAATCCCACTAGGTGGAGGAGAAGCCACCTGTGGCTACCAGAAAGAGGGAACCAGAAAAGGCAAACCAGTATAGGGTAGTGTCTCACAAGCTACAGAACTAAAGCATTTGAATAGTCTCCTATAAAGTTACCACCAGTCAGCCACCCACAGACTGAAACGCCTGAAGACATTTTAAAAATTAAAGATGCAGGACCAGCAATGGCATAATGGTTACATCGCTAAACTTCTACATAGTGGTTCATGGTTTGAGTCCCAGATCCAGAAGTTTAAAACACTCTAGACACATGTGCGTGTGTGCCCAAAATCCCAAGAGAAGTGTCCAAGATCCCGAGAGGAGAATGGAGGAGAAGGGATTACAGCGTAGCCAACCCCCTGGGGGGTGATTTCTCGCTTTCTGTCTCTCTCTGTCTTTCTGGAGAGCGTACATACCCTATATCGAAAACCTCTCTCCCTCCCCCAAAAAAAAAGAATTATTTCATTTTATGTATTATGCTTATTTTGTTTTGAGAGATTTTTGCTAAAGGGCACATGCACTCTCCAGAGTGACAGACACACAGAGACAGAAAGTAAGAAATCATCCCCTCAGAGGGAATTGCCACGCCACAATCCCTTCTCTTCCATTCTTCTCCGGAGATTTTGGGCACAGACACACACATGCCTGACATGAGTTTCAAGCCACTGGATCCAGGACTTGAACTGCAGTTGCCCACATGGGAGTCCAGCTGGCCTCAGTGGCTATATTATTATTTTAATTGACCAGAGAGAGACAGTGAGAGAGGAAAAATGAGAAAGCAAGCTGCAAGGTCTGGGACTCAAACTGCAGTTGGATGTGTGCAAGTTCAGCCCCTTAACCACCATGCCACCTATTGGCCCTTCCCCTTTAGTTCTTATTAACAGTTATCCCCCTCTCCTCCCCAAAAAAGTGTGTATCGTAAAAGGCATCTTGAACTAATCTGTTGACATCTGGAAGAAAAACCCCAACCTCAAACTTCACAGTGCACGAATCACCTGGGGAGCTTGTTAAAGTGCACATCTAATTCTATAGGTTTGGGCGAAGCCTGGGAGTCAGAACTAACCTCCAGCCAACCTTAGGTATTAGGTGGGTGGCGAGCCCTAAATGGCACCACTGCCACCTGCTGTCAAGAAAGTCACATTGCAAGTGCAGACCCAGAACCAAGTGGGCTGTTCCGAGAACATAACAACCGTACAACATCTACTTCTCTCCTGCTTTACCCCAGGTTTTAGTGGTATCTTTCAAGTCCACCTCTAAATTTTATTTGATTCTTCTAATCTTCATCTAAAAGGTCACCCTTGGGTACAGGCAGTTTGAGGGTGGCAAAGGACAGAAGCCAGCTGAACGGGAAGAATTGGCAGGCAGCAGGCGGTAAAAGCTGTTGAGCTCTGCTAATGAGCCCAGGCACAAACCAGTGCTTTGATTCCAGATGGAGTGGAGTCTGCCAGCCCCAGAGATGTCCCAGTCATCTCCTGTTGCTCCTCTGGTTTTGACTACTGTGCCCCACTCCCTGCAAGATTATAAAACACATTCTCAGATACAGCTTTTCTTTGGTTCACCAATTCTGCGGTAGCATTCATCAATTAAGTGCTCAATAATTCTGCTTGGAGGGAAGGCAGATGGCATAGTGGTTACATTGCTGGATTCCCACATGGCCAACCATGGCTTGAGTCCCAGACCTGGTGGCATGAAACTCATGCTGGGCACATGTGGTATGTGCCCAAAATCCCAGGAAGAGAATGGAAGATAAGGGATTGTGGCATGGCCATCCCCACTGCCGGGTGATTTCTCACTTTCCCACTGTCTCTCTCTCTCTCTCCTTCAAGCACATGTGCCCTAAGGCAAACACCTCTTTCAAAAATAATAATAATAATTCTGCTTAAAACTTGATCAACTCATATTTCTTTATTACTTTCACTTCTTTATGGCTTTCATCAAAATGACAACAACCCCCTCGGTCTATGGCACTTCTACTGCAGAATGGGGAGACTCCGTACCCACAGAAGCTGTGTGGCGTTAAGAGCCTGTGCGATGGTGGACCATGTAGACAGACGCGGGGTGTAGAGTTGTCCGGCAGCTGTTTCCTGCCACCCCCAAGGGCGACGCTGACCCCAGGTCCTCTTGGGTACTCCAGCCCAGAAACTCCTAACTTTACTTTTTCTCTCTTTTCTCCATGGAATTCTGTTTCAAAATATTTTTGTCTCCCAAATTGCAATTGTTAAATAATGGATTCTTCATTTTTTATTAACCAAAGGGATAGAGAGCTCCCAGTAAGAACCTCTGGTCAGCATGGACTAAGAATTTATCATTTCTGTCAAGAGCAAACAAACAACAACACTAATTCCTATTAGCCTGGATGGCTTTTTGCTAATTCCTATTAGCATCTGAGAGGTTGAAAATAGCTTGCAGCCCTTACCTCCATAGTAACCTTCATATATTCACACAGGTCCAGGGATCTTAGCTAGAACGACTGTCTAGTCTGTCTCACAACTAAAAGAAAGAAAACCAAGATAGTGACATCCAGGTGCTGAAACTGTGTAGACAGATCTGTGTTCATCATTCCTTTGGTTGCTTCTCCCAGAGAAGGGAAGGTTGGTGTCAATTCCTTATTCTACACTTCCTGTCTGCCCCTCAACACTAACTTTGCAGATTCTGTCACACCCTGTAAAAACCCAACACATATTTCTAAAATGTTAAAATAAGAGTGAAAGGCTACAAGCTCTTGAGGCTCAGACTTGAATTCCTGCCTGGACACCACCGGAGAGCCTTCCTGAGCTTGACTGGGACATCGCTGCTCCTGAAGCGAATGAAAGTGGCTGGTTCATCGGATTCTAAAACGGGGGTGGAGATAAGTACTGGCCCAGCAGGGCCTCTGTGCCCAGGGAAACTCTGTTAGAGTTTAGATGACTAAAAGTACTCTGTCTTACGACCTCTTCTTCACTTCCTTGCCATTGGGATCTCAGGTGTCCTAGTGGAGAAAGAAAGAAGTTAGAGGATGCTAGGTGAGCACAGTGGGAAATAACCAGAATAACCGAGTCTTTTTCCATTCCTCAGACTGCAAAGTCGATCTGTCATTTTTAATTGATGGAGGTTCTGGCATTGGAAAACGTCGATTCCGAATCCAGAAACAGTTCCTGGAGGAGGTTGCCCAAGCTCTTGACATTGGCCCTGCTGGTCCACTGATGGGTGTTGTTCAGTACGGGTAAGTGCAGTTAATGTCCCAAATCCAGAAACCAAATGACACTGCATGCTTCTTTTTTTCTTTTCTTTTCTTTTTTTTTATGCAAAAAAAAAAAAAAAAAAAAACACCAACATGTCGGGAGAGCACAATTTCTTCTCTTAACTAATGCAAATGTAAATGAAAAAAGGAGGGGGTGAAGAAATCCAAATGCCATTGAAGAAATCTGAGACCTCCTGAAGGGAAGGATAAATTAGCAAATGCTTGCAAGTAAATGGCATTTGTGCTCATGATTGGCAGAGAGTACTGGGCTGGGAATTAGGAGGGGTGGGTGCAAGTCTTAGTTCAGCCACTAAGAAACTGTGTGGCTTTGGGCTAGGCCCTCAGCTCTCCAATCATCAGAGTCCTCGTCTGGAGATCAGGAACACTGACTTCCCTCCGGTTCCTGACTTGAAGAGCATTTGTTTGAGGGGCCGCACCCTGGGCTGCAGCCTACTCACCTGTAAGAAGCCTAAAGAGCAGAGTGCTGGGCCAGCAGATGGCATAGCAGTAACGCTGCTAGACTCCCATATGGCTGACTATAGTGTAAGTCCTGGACCCGGTGGCTTAAAACTCACTGGGCGCATACATGTGTGTGCCCAAAATCCCAGGAGAAGAACGGAGGAGAAGGGATTGTGGTGTGGCCATTCACTCTGGAGGGGTAATTTCTCACTTTCTGCCTCTCTGTGTGTGTCTCTCTGTCTCTCTCTGTGTGTCTCTCTGTCTCTCTCTGTGTTTCTCTGGTGAGTGCACATGCCCTACAGCAAAAACCTCTCCCCAGAAAAAGAACATAGTGCTTTGGGTTGTACTTCATCTCTTCTAAAAACCTGGGGCCTCCGCACTGATACTGGAAAATCTCAGCAGGCTGTGAGGAAGACCAAACTGTTCTCACTTTGCTCTATTGTTTTATTAGGGTAGAAAACGAGGGCCCATGTTGACATCCACTCTCAATCTTCCTTTCCTTTATTTGGGATAAGAAGTCCCTTTTATTTCAGATATGAATAGGTTTCTCCCTAAAATGAATATACAAATATTGACAGATAGAAATGATCAAAGAGCAAGTATGCCTAAATCCCTAATTTATACATACACCTTAAAAAGGTGGTCTTTAGACCAAGAACCTCCATATAATTATCATTATCACAAGTAAAGTTACCTATACCTGACAACACCCATGGGACTCCCCCAGCCCCTTCAAAGATTTCCTAAGGGCTTCCCAGGGCAGCATTGTAACTGAGGTTATTATGTTATATCGAAGACACTGGAATATTTATTTTTCAGTTGTCAAGAGAAACAAACAAAAATGCTTTATAGTCTTAAAACTTACAATGTGTGTATTTTTAGAATTAAATGCCAATCACACATCTTGTCCTATCTTCTGTTCCTCTGAGGAAAAATCGGTAGATTACTTAACTGGTACTTGTGTGTAGTCAGAGTTGATTATTATAAAAATAGCCAATGGCTGCAGATGCTACCCCGCAGGGTCAAATGATCTATCTTGAGGTTCTGCCTTGAAATAAGAAGGGAAATACTTTTGGCTATTGTTTTCTTGTTTTCCAAATGTCAACCCATTCTTATTCCTGTGTTACTTTTTAAAGATAGCAAATGGGTAGCGGGCTTTTCTGGGGAGGAAATGTAAGCGTTTTAATGCCGGATGTCCCTAGTCAATTTTATTGGTGGGTTCAAAGCTTGGCGTGTTATCTTGCATTAAAAATAGCTGCTTTCAAAGCTGTGTAGACTGAGGTTTATAGTGTAATGAGAAAATAAGGTGATAAATATGTCCAGAAAAAGAAAAATGGCATGAGAATAGTATTGCAGGCCGATGAAAACGTGGCTTAAAGAACAAATATAGCAGGGGGGGAAACAAATAAAGATTCCTTTCGCCCCTCCCCCCAAAAAAATCGTTTTCTCCCACATTTTCCTAATGTGATCACCATTTGCAAGAAAGAGTTCAGCTCCACAGCTCCCAGTTTCACTTTGTGAAAGTCCCAATGCTGCCTGCCTTTTTCTCTCCAAGTCCTCATTAGTTGGAGAACTGAAGGGAAATGTGAGCTTGTCCTCCACTGTGTGCTCACATAAACTAATCCATCATCTTCACCCTCCTTTGGCATCGGGGTGGCGTGGAAAGCACAATGAACCGCTAGCAGGCTATCTGAATTCTGGCCTTAGCTCTGCTGTGTGACCTTAAGCAAGTCACTTAACCTCTCTGTGTAAGTGCTGCCATCTGTAAAGTGCGGGGTCAGACCAGATGATTTATTTGGGCTCTGCCAGCCCTGGCGTTCTGTAATTCAGTGACCGTCTCTGTGTTCAGAAGACATCCGGTGAATGCTGGACTAACAGATTAGATGAACGGCCTCCCCCTTGCTCTCAGCCTTGGGGTCCTTAGGTGGGGCGACCCATATGAATTGGGTCACAATGAGGTTATGCATCTGTCTGTGGAAAGTGGGAAACAAAATAAATTGGAGGGGAGCCTATGAAGGGTGTGAGGCAGCTGAAGGGAAGACGCATGTATCCAGCTCTTGAAATCGCTCTCGAATGTAGTTGTCCTGCTTCTCTTCCAGGAGGCTCCCTTCAATCCTTCCCTCATCAAATGTTATTGGTACATACAGAGGAAGGGAGTGGGGTGGGAAGGGATAGGGAGGAGGTTCATTGCATTTGCCTCTCAGCAGCCCAGCATCCTCTGCCAGGTGCTTCGTCTCTACTTCTCTGTAACTTTCCTAGGCTCTGGCTGAGTTCTTACCTCTGATCCAGACTCGAGGGAAATCTGAACCACTTTGGAGCTCGCATGTTCCCTCTCCCATGTTCCCCGCCTAGAAGGTCGATAATCCACAATCATGTTAACCTCTCATGAACTACAATGTTCCTAACACACCATTGCACACCTCCAGTAAGAGAGTTGGTCTTTGATATAGACTCAGAGAAGTTGAGTGTCTTTCTCAAGAAAACACAGCTAAATGCATGACCAGGGACAGGGGACAAATATGAATCTGGAGTTAATCCCTAAAGTGTCAAACAAAATTGCCCTCTAAGTGAAGATTTTGCTCATCTGCCAAGAAAGCTTCCACCACCCTGAAGACTAAACGAGGATCCAGGATCAAGCCCTTGTCTTGCACACAGGTTCTAAGTTAAAATTATACGGTTTAACCAACAGGCTCATAATTGCACTGGATGCCAACAAGAACACTAAAAAGCTGAAGGAAAGAACAGCTAGAGCAAGCAGCGATTAGGGGAACTCCAGTAAACAGAATGAATATGGGCACACAGCTTGCGTTCGGCTGCAGCTCAGACCCCACAGGTGCTAAATGCTCTCTACACCTTCAGTGTGCATTCATTTGAGGCCCCAATGTCAGCATAAGTGGGACAGAACTGTACATGTTCTTTTGAACTTTGCATTCAACCCTGGGATATCAAAATTGGAAAACAGATTTTGGAATAAAGCAAAATGTTAGTTTTTCTCCATGTATAATGAAATACTTTTCTTTGCTCTTGGGTCTATGCCAGCTGCCCACTGTTTCAGGCAGGGCAGGATTCTGGACTGGGTTGTGTTTCCTTAGTCTTCTTGGACCACAGACTGACAGTCATGCACTCCGCTGACCATCCCTTCCTGCTCTAGCATGCAAGGAGGATGCTCAGAGGTTCCCTAGATCGGCAGAGCTGCCGTGTACAGAGTGGAGGGAATACATGAGAGGTCAAGTCTGGTGTGTTAAGCAAAATAACGACCCCCCAAATTATTCATATCCAAAGCCCGGGCATCAATGAATGTTTTGCCTCAATAAGAAAAAGGGACTTGGCGTATGTAAAATGGGGGAGGTCATCCAGGATTATCTAGGTGTCCCAATCTGATCATTCGAGTCTTTAAAGATGGAAAACCTTCGTCAGCCATTGCCAGTCAAAGGGAGACATGACTGTGGGAGAATCGTCAGGAAGCTATGGAATCGCTGGCTTTGAAGGTGGAGGAAGGACTGCGAGCAAGGAACACAGCAGCCTCCAGAAACTTGGAAGGGCAGGGGAAGAAATTCTCCCTAGAGCCTTGAAAATGGAATACAGCCTTGCCACAGCTCAGTTTTAGCCCAGGAAGATCCAGGATGGACTTTGAACCTCCAGAACTATAAACTATTAAGTGTGTGTTGTGTAGGCCACTGAGTACATGGAACAGCAATAGGAAACTAAGAAAGTGGGCACCACCATGTTGGTGGACAGACCACCCTGTGGCATACTCAGTCTGCAGCAAAAGAGGGATTGAGAGGGGTTAAGGCATGAGATACAAGGGGATGGGCCACAGGAGATGCGAATCACAGCATTGGCCATGGACTTCAGAGCAGGAAGGGGCTGTCTGGGCCCTGCCACAGACTGACAGTCATGCACTCCGCTGACCATCCCTTCCTGCTCTAGCATGCAAGGAGGATGCTCAGAGGTTCCCTAGATCGGCAGAGCTGCCATGTACAGAGTGGAGGGAATACATGAGAGGTCAAGTCTGGTGTGTTAAGCAAAATAACGACCCCCCAAATTATTCATATCCAAAGCCCGGGCATCAATGAATGTTTTGCCTCAATAAGAAAAAGGGACTTGGCGTATGTAAAATGGGGGAGGTCATCCAGGATTATCTAGGTGTCCCAATCTGATCATTCGAGTCTTTAAAGATGGAAAACCTTCGTCAGCCATTGCCAGTCAAAGGGAGACATGACTGTGGGAGAATCGTCAGGAAGCTATGGAATCGCTGGCTTTGAAGGTGGAGGAAGGACTGCGAGCAAGGAACACAGCAGCCTCCAGAAACTTGGAAGGGCAGGGGAAGAAATTCTCCCTAGAGCCTTGAAAATGGAATACAGCCTTGCCACAGCTCAGTTTTAGCCCAGGAAGATCCAGGATGGACTTTGAACCTCCAGAACTATAAACTATTAAGTGTGTGTTGTGTAGGCCACTGAGTACATGGAACAGCGATAGGAAACTAAGAAAGTGGGCACCACCATGTTGGTGGACAGACCACC